ACACATACATACACACACATACATACACACACATACATACACACACATATACACACACACATATATGGGTGTATATATATTTATATTTATCTGTTACATTTACATTACATTTCCAGTGAACAAGTATTTAACTTTTTAAAGCTTATGTATTACAATTAGGAAGACTGTACAACTTACAGGACAAAAATTAGTTTCTCTGTCACTCCCATAAGGGCCGTCGCAATCGTTGTTCCAAAGAGGAAAAGTCCAAAATAAACATGTATGGGCATGATAAATTCTCGGAGAGAAGGTGGAGCCCAAGGAAGCAGAAAGATGAAAAAACCTGTGAAAAGCTAAACACCAAAAAGTACAAAGGTTATTGTTTAATTTAAGTTTTAATTAATTTAAAGTTATTCTAAAAGCAATTTGTAAAAAATGGGGAAAAAAACTTTTCCATAGAACCTGGGGTGAAAAAAATGAAAAACAGAACACATTAGGACATATAATTCAGTTAGTTCAATCTAAAAAGCTATGTGAAAACAAGATGACCATTTTTTCGTGAGGAAAAAATGAATTCTACAGGACAATTCTCTCCATTTCCTTGATAATTAAATCCCTAGTGAGAATCTTCTTTGCAGAGAAGACAGCAAAATTCCTATATAAATTGAAGTCTGTTGGACTTCCAGAGTTTTGTTTTGTTGCCCCCCCATACCCTGCCCAGTAAGTATTTTCTTAACAAGAAAATAAAGATGACTTAGTGGCTAACAGATTACTGAGTTTAAAGACTTTTTAAAAAAAAAAAAAAAAAAAAACAAAAATAACAACAACAACAAAAAACAAGTACTGAGTTAGAATCTACCAGCCTGACAAAACAACTCTGAAAAAAATAGAAGAATGAGGAGAAAATTACTAACATCATTCACTGCTCCACCCTCTGGGTTAGAGATCCAACGTCTAAGGGGGAAACACCAGAAGATTGGAGGAAGAGGATGGGTCCAAAGCCCTAGAACACTGTTAGAATCAGCTTATGTGTAATACACACAGTTATGATACGATAGTGATCAAAAGTGCCTTTGATGCTGGTGTGCACGTTTTATTTTTCACCTAATACTGAAAATGCTTGAATGTGTTAGAAAATGGTTCCGAGGATTTCCCCCTTGACAGTTCAAAATATTCCTAATTCTTCCTCAGTGAACGTCAGTAATTCCATCAGTGTCTAGGGGCCAACTTCCTGACATTCATGTTGTACTTTCAATATGAAAATGTGGCCCAGGTCAATGACTGCCTGGGATTTAGCACAAATATATTTCTGTAAAGGCATTCTGTGCCTTCCTATGGCTTACCTATAGAAAAAACGTTATTTTTCATATTCTTGCTCTCTTGACCATTTTTAAAAGATCTTTATTGTTTTTTTCTCATTTCCTTCATAATTTATCATGCATGTCTTTTGTAATCCTGTATGGCTCAATGATTTAAGTAGGTGAGAAAGCAATTAAGTCGTATTTTCACCATTGAAGAAATTCTTCAACAAAAGAGAATTACTTCTAAAAGGAAAGGGAAAACATTACGGAATGCTTGGCTTTGATTAAGTGTTTCAAGTAGTGCAATGATGCAAACTTATAATTTGTAATAATTTATAATAATCAGACTTAATTTCCTTTTAACCATTTTAGTCTTACCACCTTACAAATGAAGAGGGCAGCTTATAACCTAGTGGACTGAAAATTACAAGACCCTTCGTCCCTAAGTCAGAGGTTCTTAAAATGTGATTCCCAGAAAACATGCATCAGAAACACTTAAGGTATGAATTTAAGAAGATGCCGAGTCACATCCAGACATGCAAATCAGAGTTTCTGGATTAGGGCCAGGAATATTCATTTTTAATAGAATGCCCAGGTATTTCTTATACATGTTGAAATCAGAAGATCACTACTTTTGATTCACTCAAATTATTTCTGATATAGGTGAACTGAAAATCCCCCCAAAAGGAGGCAGTGGAATCCTCTATTACCCACAGTCTAAGAAGCATCATTCAGTACCAACGACGTGTAAGAGCAGAGGTAGTTTAAAGAACCAAAAGTGCTCCACTGTTTAGGAACCATCACCAACAGGAAGCTGTTCTTCACCATAATGGAAGTTCTTAAGAAAACTAAGGCAATATAAAAGTTCATAACAAGTTATTACTTGGAGCTGGGCATGGTGGTGCATACCTATAATCCTAGCAACTCAGGAGGCTGAGGCAGAAGAACCAAAGTTCAGTGCCAACACAGTGAGACACTATTTCAAAATAAAACACAAAAAGGTCTGAGGTTCAATGCCCAGTACTGAAAAAAAAAAAAGTTATTACTTAAAGATGAAAGTGAAAATTTGTACAATCCTAATTATGTTTTAAAATTCAATATCTATACCCATAGGTACAATGAAAAAAATTAAACCAAAATGTAACACTATCTCTCAATGTGGTATTTAATCTTGATTTTTTTCTTTACAGAGTCCTCTATTTCATAAAATTTTAAATTAATGTGTACTACATCATAGAGCTTTTTAAAAAAAAATTTATTTTTTTAGTTGTAGATGGACACAATACCTTTATTTTATTTGTTTTTGTTTTTTTATGTGGTGCTGGGGATTGAACCCAGTGCCTTATGATGCTAGGCACGTGCTCTACCTCTGAGCCACAACCCTGGCCCTGAATGTGTACTACTTTTATAATCAGAATTATAAAACTTATTTTTAAAGTTTTTATATTAAATATTTAGATACTTGGGCTTTCTCAGTTAATTATTACTGTCTTTACAGATCTAAATATATTTTACTACAACAGTTGTATTACAAAAACAGACTATTTTTGTTTAAGTGTGTGTAGCTAGGTGCTGTGATGCACACCTGTAATCCCAGCTACTCTGGAGGTTGAGGGGAGAGGATAGCAAGTTCAAGGTCAGCCTAGAAAACTTATTGAGAGCCTATCTCAAAAAGGGTTGGGATGTAGCTCAATGATAGAGCACGGCTCTGAGCTAAATCCTCATTACTATTTTTTTTAAAAAGTGTGTATAAACCTTGAAACCTAACTTTTATTGCAAAAGTCATTAATGGGAGCAGGAAATATCCACTTGGCTAGTTTTTTTGTTGCTTGTTTGTTTTTTAGGTATGGTTTACCTTTTTTTTTTTTTGAATGGGGGAGAGTAGAGGTAGTTTAAAGAACCAAGTCAATTACAGATTATGTGGAAGCTCCTCCCAACTCTCCTTCATCCTTCTGCTATGCCACATTCAGTACCCATTCCTTCATTCTACATACATTTTGAAATCTTTGCTATAAGCCAGATGTTGCTCTGGGTGCTGCAAATGCTATTGAAGACGGACAAGCTACTGTATTCCAGGAACTCACATTTGTTTTCATTGGGATTACTGAAACATCTAACCTTTTAACTATGAGCAAGCTTTTCTTTTAGGCCAACTGTTCTCAAACATTAGCAAGCATCTGAATCACCTGGTAGATTTATTATAGTGCATAATATGGGGCCCCACCCCCAGAGTTTCTGATTGAGTAGTTCTAGAGTAGAAGCTGAGACTCTATGTGTCTAATTTTCCTGTTGATGCTAATGTTGCTGTCCTAGAGACCATACTTTGAAAAATTCTGTCCTAGGTCATTTCCAAGTTGTGTTCTTCATATGTAAGAAAAAAATGGCACTTTTCTTCCAGGGATTGAAAAAAATCTAATGAATAGCAACTAGAATATGTCCATAGGTTTTTATAAAAGGTATAACAACACTCAAACCAGTCATTGAGTCTCCTGCCCACATCCTGCATCTCCCTGCTACATCCACCCAGGCAATACCCCACTCTGGCTTAGCCATCTTCACCACTCCTCCTAGCCTGTCAGGTATTACTGGAGTAAGTCACAATTAAGGAGACTGGCATCACTATAAAGAGATAATTATGAGCAGTTGGACGCTGCTCAACAAACCTTTTATTGTCTGATTTATCAGCTGACTCTCCATTTTCCCCTATTCTCAAATTCTGACTCTCCAGAGTGTCTCTCCCCAATATGGTACTGGGGATTGAATCCAGGGGCACTCAATTACTGAATTACACCTCTAGCTTTTTATATTTCTTATTTTGAGACAGGGTCTTGCTAAATTGCCCAGACTGATCCTGAACTTGGGATCCTCCTGCCTCAGCCTCCCAAGAAGCTGGGATTACAAGAGTGTGCTATTGTGCACAGCCAGTAGAAAATTTTATGACCTCCACACTGAAAAAATAAAGGTAGCTGGCATGGTGGTGCATACCTCCCAGCGGCTCAGGAGGCTGAGGCAAGAGGATCAAAACCAGTCTCAGCAAAAGCACGGAGCTAAGCAACACAGTGAGACCCTGTCTCTAAATAAAATACAAATTAGGGCTTGGGAATGTGGCTCAGTGGTCGAGTGCCACTGAGTTCAATCCCTGGTACCTGCCCCCCTCCAAAAAAAAAAAAAAAACAGAGGCAACTTCAGAGAAAAGCCTCAACATCCTGCCGCCAAACCAAACCCCATTCTTTTTTCAATTACAATGGAGTTGGTGTCAGACCTTTAATTTTCCAGCTGTCTCTGCAACCTGCTTCCTTAAAATCTATTTATAAATTATTATGTCTCTTCATCATTCACAAATTCTCCTTCTTTACAGGTGTCACCCTGTCATCATTTCACATGCCCAAGTTTCTCATAATGAAAAGTAGACATTTAAAAAAAATTTCCTCTCTTCCCTCCCTGCTTATTCAAATCATTTGACAGAGTGAACTATTTCTTTACCTTCATTCCCTCTTCAACCATTGCAATCTGGCTTCTGCACTCCAAATAACTTGGTTTCCAAGATGTTCAGTGACTTTTGTTGTTATTATTTTTAATTATACATGACAGTAGAGTCAATTTTGTCATATTTATACAAATATGGAGTACATCTTATTCTAATTAGGATGCCCATCTTGTGCTTGTACATGATGTAGAGATTCACTGTGGTGTATTCATATATGTACACAGGAAAGTTATGTCATAGTCATTCCTCTGTCTTTCCTAATCCTCTCCCCCTCCCTTCCCTTCATTCCCCTTTGTCTAATCCACTGAACTTCTATTCTTCACCCATTCCCATTGTTGTGTATTAGCATCCACATATAACAGAGAACATTCGACCTTTGGTTTTTTGGAGATTGGCTTGTTTTACTTAGCATGATAGTCTCCACATCCATCCATTTAATGGCAAATTTCCTAAATGGGCAATTGTCAGACCCTCTTTACATTGGACACTTCTCAAGCCCTTCCATCCCCTTTTCATCCACCCATCTGCTGAAATCTGTTAATGACTCTCATTCTTCATCTCATTT